ATTTTGGACAGATTTCCTTATCTCGATCTCAGTTATTGGGCCATTTAAAACATGATCATACATACTTTCATCTGTTGTAGGTAACAAATCTTCTTCTTCATCGCTATAATCAGTATTCAGATTTTTAAAATAATTAAAAATTTCATCAATATTTTTATCTATTTTTACATTTTTTTTGGCACAATCTATTTTATTCAGGAGTTCCCAAAACTTTTTCGGGTCACTTGTTGAGGTTTTCCTTATTTCTCCCTCGATTTTTTCTTGAAAACTCATATAACATCTTTTCATAGTATTACGATATTCTTTACCTTTCCTTTTCAATCTTTTTCTATTTAAATTTCACTTTATCATTTTATAGTTACGCTTCGCGAGATTAAACTCTCGTCTATTTTTAGCGCATTCTTGTGAAAACCATTCTTTATCCTTGTGTTTCTTAGCAATACAAGATTTGTAGGCATATTTTTTAACACCAAAAACTGATTTACATGTATCAGAAAAAATGTTTCTTATTTCAAGTATAACTTCTTCCATCTCAGTTTGATTTGAAATATCATCCATAGTTTGCAATAAACCAGCCAGTCTAGCAGTTTCATTTCCTTCAATGCAATTAAAAAAATCTTCCCTTTTGTTTTGGTTCCACTTTACAATATTATTACATTCAATGGTTCCTCCCGGGATATTACTAGGGGCTATAGTTACTGATGCAGTTAAATTCAAGTCGACAGTGTACATCAGATAACAGTGGATCAAAATCTTGAACTTCAAAATCTTCAATAATATTAAATACTTCTGATGAAACAATCAAATAGTCAACTAAACTGGCATCATTACATGTTTTCCTACCAATGTAACAATCTTTACCAGCCCTCCCATTAGCAATATATAAATTGTTTCTTTTGCAAAGATCTAAAAGTTGATACCCAAAGTTATTTGGGTTACATTTATCTTCACTATATCGATCTAGAGGGATTTGATACACAGGTAATTTTTCGAAGTCATACATGTATGCATATAATTCATCACTTTCAGTAATATTTAGTGATTCAATAAAAGTTTGGTCCGGAATGACATAATTTGGTAATGTTTTAGTTCTAGCATTAAAATCACCCATTAGTGCAATATATTCGTGTCCCTTTGACAAATTGAGTAATTCATTTTCAATGTCATTAAATGCATTATTATCAACATACTTTGAATTTTCTGGAGGCAAATATACACATCCAAATAAGGCATCAGAATATATACAAAGTAGTTTCTGTGAGACTGACATCCACTGGATGTATTTAGTTTCAGTGCAATGAAATTTTAAGTGATTTTTTTTATTTTTCTTTATAAATTACAACAATGCCAACAGATTTCTTTTTAAAAGATTTACGATGTTTTGCATGATATGTATAGCCATTGGGTAATTCTAGTGCATCATATTTGTCTGTTTTACTCTCTAGCACAACAAGTACATCATTGGTTGTTATGGTTGTTATGAATTCAGGTAATATCAATTTGGACTGAAGTCCACAAACATTCAGTACAGAAATCTTAATTTCCCCTCATGGGCATACCGTTGGCAGAACATCTTGTTGCGCACCCCTAGTGGTATCCACCAGTAATGGTCCCCGATGGATGGGACCCAACTTGGGTGTGCAGATTCTGTTGTCCACTTCCAGTGCGCGTGTTGTCGTGGGAATTCCCGTTAGACGGTGCGGTAGATGTTCTCTCGCGGGCCGCCGCACTATAGGATGGTGTACCATTTTCAGTTCTGGAGTTAGCTCGAGAACGAGACTGCTTACTATTTATACTGTTCTGGTTGATATATGGACCGTTGTACAGTCTCCCATCAACAATAAGTTTATCCCTTACAAATCGCACATTTTTTCCCTTGCTCCGTAGGTCTTTAAGAGTTGGACCGAGTTCCCTGCGTCGCTGTTGGATTTCTGGCGGAAACTGTTCGCTAATATAAAAAGGTGTACCTTTCAACTTACGGGCACACCTGAACACTCCTTCACGATCTTTATTGAATATAAAGCGGGCTACTATAGGCCTATTCTTCCCGCTGATGGACTGGCCAAAACGATGAACGTTCCCAAATTCTATATGGTTGTCTATTCCAAGCTCAGATTCAATAAAATCCCTCAGTAACAACTCTGTATTTTCATTTGGATTTTCCACAAGCCCACTGAAAACTAAATTGCTTTTCATAGACCGCCATCTGAGCTCAGTTATACTGTCCTTCAACTCCCGATTCTCTTTTGTAATGTCGTCAATGTCACCTGTCAACTTATCGATGACCACCTTACACTCGTTTATATCATCTGATTGCCTCCTTTGGTCTTTGGAAACAGTACGTACAACACTCTGAATTTCCACATGTTTCTTCTCAAAATCGTCAATTTTTTCAGAAGCAAATATCACAGACCTTTCCAGCTCGTTTGCTTTCTTTTCACTTGCTGACATTCTTTCTTCCATTTTATCGATTTTACTTTCGATCATTTCGAGTCTATCAAGCTTTTTCATAATAATTTCAAAATTTTTGTACATATCATTTTGAAAATCATTTTGTTCTTGATTAGGGTAAGTACTTGATGACGGAATTGGTGTAGATGTTATATGTGCTATATCAGATCCATATAATGTTCCATTGGCTTTCCCTAAAGCGGCACTCACGGGCAAGTTACCGCATGTATCAGTGTCACTGACGGACTCAGATTTCCTTTTTTCCCTTTATTTTTACCCATGGTAAGTATGTACATGTAGTAAACCGGAGATATATCATACGGGTGCTACACATCACAGTCCAAACGTGCATATATACAATCATATAAAGTCAGCGGAATGTGACGAATCGCCGGCGACATGGACCCTTTACAGGTAAATGACTACTGTGACTACCCAATGGCAATGACAGTATGTCTGGTTGTATGATTTGTACTTCATTTGTCCGTTCATTAATTGAAGTTTCTGACGTCAGCGCCAAGTGTTCCACAACTGCCAGGTATGCATCAATTTTACTATTTAATATACATTTGAAATATTACTTACTTCACAGTTTAATGTGTACAACCGTTGAAAGTATCGCTCAATCGTACTACCTAATGGATATTTATGAAATGTACAACATGTTAGTATGACGATACGTTTCACTGATTTCATAGTTTTGAATGATTTTGAATTTTCAACGACTAAACAGTTAAACGTGGTATAATTGTCGAGGTTTTACAGAGAAGATTATACCTACTGTCGTGTACCCGTTAAGAACTGCTCTTTTCAAAATGGCGGATACGTAGACGGCCACATAATGTAGCTACCCTCATTACGCTAAAAAGGCACTGGTTTATAGACACAATTCGACCGAAACAAGTACCAGACAAAACCCAGAAATTCTCGAAAAAGTGTCACGAAAGAATAAAAAATTTGCTTATCAGATCCAAACAAATGGTAGTGAAAGCAAATATAACGGATGAATGTTAGACAGACGGAAGGACCGAGATATTCGGACGAACAATCTGTACATTGTACAGCGTCCTGTTATGGTGACAGTCGATGTACATTTTAAACATATTTCATTATTTCAGACACATTATTGAGAGTCTCGTCAAGATATTTGACGTTATAGATGTATGTAGATGGATAACAAAATTACAATTTTAAAAGAAGCACTGTGCAGTATTGTGATCCTGTGGAGTGCAGGCATGTGCTGTAATCTTTTACCTGACCTTGAAAGCTACTCTGTTAAGTAACTGATTGTTGCCTAGTCTATTTAATCCCTGTTGTCTTCCTCTTCATTATTTCAGACACATTATTGAGAATCTCATCATGATATTTGACGTTATAGATGTATGTAAATGTTAAACAAAATTGAAATTTTAAAAGAAGCAAATGGTAATATGTCGGCCATAAATTCTGTACCGATATGTACGTCTTAAACATTCGCAACAAAAAACTAATAAAATATTTATTGTATCTACTTTCAAAATAATTCGAGCATCATGCATTTTCGCCATGCTTTTTAAAAATATTTCAAGAATAATTTGCTTCAAAAATATTTCAGGAATCATATACATTTGTATTGGAATAATGTACTTCTAAAGATATTTTCCGTATCTTTCTGAAACGTACTTTTAAAAGATTTTGATAATTATCTTTTGAAATATTCAAATAAAAACGTAATTTTAAAACATTTTTAGAATCATTTATTTTTTTTAAATATATTGAGAATTATGTATTTTTTTTCAAAGATTTTAAGAATTACGTACTTCGAAAATAGTTTATGTACTGACAACATATAAGAATCATTTCTTTGTAAAATAATTTCAGAACATTATACTTTTGAAATATTGTATCATGTTTATCATAACTTATGCTTCTGTGTATAGGAATATTATAGCTTCAAAGTATTTTAAGAAGACATACCAACCAGAACGACATGTGATTTTTAATCACATCACCAAACCTACATTGCAAAACAATTATTCAACTGCATGTTGACTCCATAATGCACTTTGAAAACTAACGTGTCATATATTTCTCTGCAAAAGTGTATTTTTATGATAACAATGAGTATGTCTGTGTGTAGATAAACATTACAAAATTCATTCATAACGGTAAAGTAGAGGTAATACAATAGACAGACAATAGAAACATGTCAGAACTACAGCCTGTGAACTTTACTTTGTTAAAGATAATTCTCTATTTTCCTAAATTCATTTCACATTATGATATCAACGTAAAAAATCAAGCATTTATTTTTTGACAGATTTTTTAATACCAATTTATGTATTCAAGCGGAAATAATTAATTTAAAAATGGACACACAACAGTATTACATGTAACTATACTTGCGTTATGTGAGCTACTTTCGTTTATTCAGTAAATATTAAGCATGTTTGATTGTTTTAACGTCATGAGAAAATTATCTGATGGCATCCCGATTACAGATTACTCATTAAAATAAAAATTAATTGTATATCTGATTTTTTCAGAACGGCAGTGTACCTCCCTTCACCATGACCAGTACTTCCGGTGTTATTCTGTTGCTTATCATTGGATTTTCATTTGGATTCATGATAGCAAGTTACATGGGGTCCAACCTGACGCATGTGCCATTGAAGAGCGAACCTCTTCCTATGAAAATCACACTTTTCAATGATGGCCGCTCTGATATTCCGGATGAGAGACAACGTAATGCAGAGAACACAGAGAGGAATTCTAAAAGCATTCAAGTGCCTGATGCCAAACATGTCAAACCCGGAAGCAGAATGAATAAAGGAAATGAAATACCAGAAGTTAAGCAAAACGAACAGACAACGTTGCTTATTTCGTCACATCCACCCCCAGGAAGTAATGAATCGTTTAAGATTGAAAATTTAAAACGGAAAATCTCAAAGGATGTAGTTGGCATAGCGATACGTCAGGACATGAAGAGATATATTTGTAACGAGTACAGTGGTGCACTTGGAAACCTTATGTTCATGTATGCTTCATGCTATGGTATCGCATACGATTTTAATATGACACTTGCCCTTAGTAACGGGGTATATTTATATGGTCCATTTGAAGGGATTCCCAAACAAAAAAAGCCAAAATCGGAATACTGTCGAGGAGAACAGAAATCATTTAATGAAGGTAAGCCAAGATATTATACCAGATTCAATATCCAAGAAACAGATAAATATGTGAGACTTAATGGGTACTTACAATCTTGGAAATACTTTGCAAATTCTTTTGATGACCTGAAACAACAATTTACATGGAGAAACGGCATTCGGGATGAAGTGGAAAAAATTATTGCTCGTTTAGTGAAAACAAGTTATCCAAACGATGAATTTAAGTCGGTGACTACTGTTGGAATACATATCAGGAGAGGCGACTATGTTCCCGTACATCGCCCAATGGCAGATAAACCCTACATAGAAAGTGCCAAACAATATTTCTTGAGTCGATACTCTAAAGTTTTATTCATTGTTGCGACGAACCCTGTAGTCGAAGCTAGGCAATGGTGTATAGCAAATGTTATCAACGGTACAGGGAAGTCTGTGTTTTCGGGAGCCAATAATGACCGCTATGTTGACATGGCTCTGCTGTCCATGACTGATCACGTGATCATATCTACTGGGACATACGGGTGGTGGGGTGCATTTTTAAATAAAGGAACAGTCATACATTATGATTGGATACCACCTAACCACTATAGATTCAACAGAGAGGATTACATTTTACCGTACTGGATTGGAATCAAAGCCACTAAAATTGATTGGAGCAATTCTCTGTTTAGGACACTCAAACCTCCTTGATCTCGATACATATTCCCAAAGTCGTGTTAAGACGAGTAAAATCATGTATGCCATATTAACATGAAATGTGTATGTAAATATGTATGGCTATGTCTTTAATATAAAGTGTATGGATGAGTGCGAGAGATCCAGTACACATTCTTATCATGCGTCGATATGACGCAAACAAGACTTTTTAAAGAGTACTTTAAAGCTAGTATTATACGTAGTTGTTAGATGTGCAAATATTGAATTACTTTATATATTTCTATCAAGATTTCCATACAGCCTTTTTCATTTGTTGATTATATTTTTCAATATTATTTTTATCCACATATTTTGGCTGTGATTACTAATGCTGGTGACTGAACTGTCGTGGCCCTTCATTTGCAACGTTATATATGTATATGCTAGATGTTAATTGTGATATATGGATAAATCCGGTACGTGTTACTGTAGGGTATTTAGTATAACCCTGAGCGTTAGCTCTTCTGTCGTGGAGGTTAATAAAAGTAGTTGTATCACATGGACGCCATTTCTTATGAGTTGATTGTTCCACGTGGGTAGCAAACAAGATATTACATTAATCACGTTAAGACCACCTGTACGCTCTACATTGTGTCTACCTAAATATGTATTTTCAGTTACACTTTTCATATTCACTGCATACGATGATAATTTGTATATGTTGATATGTGGATACCACGGTTTATTTTTATACATTATGTACATTAATGATGTTTCATTGTAATAAATTGCTTGTTATTTAAAGACAAAACGTCATCAATATATCTGAAAGTGAAATTAAGCGATTTGCAAGGTCATTGTGACCTGTTTTAATAAGCTCTTCAATAAATTTAGTCTCGTATGAAAACAAAGACAAATCAGCCAACTGAGGTGCGCAATTAGTTCCAGTAGTCTGTTGGAAGATTTTGCCACCAAGCTCAACCTGAAACTGCATCATTTTTATTATTTCGTCTTCCATATATTTGTCTTTGTTTTGGACGTATGTTTTACATGCATTGACTTCTCGTCTGATACCCATGTATGCGTGATTCGGTTCATGTTTGTTGACATTGCAGGTTGTGGGAACGACTCCATTACGTCCTGTTGAGGATAGTCTTTCACAAGGCGCACTCTGTGTTGTAAATAGAATAGGCCGATCTGACAATGAATGGCCCCGGTACTTTTGTCCAACTAAAGCCCCGTCAAGGTCATACAAGCAAAGCTTACATTTTAGAGAAAAAAACACCATTTAACTCACTCTGTGGTTATCACATGTCAATTGAAGTCTTGTTAAAACGTGTGTTGGAAGTACGCCGACATGTACGTTCCATTGGCAGTGGTAGATGGGACTCGCTTTGCCTGTTTACATAAAATCTATCTTCTCTTTAAGTGGTCTTTCGAGGCCTGCCAGACCTAAGACGCTCGTAATTGCTGGCGTCACTTTCGTGTCAACTTTAGCGATCTTTTTATACGTGTTGAAAAATGTGTCTTTCAGTGGAATTTCCTGTGAATTGGACCATTTAACATAATTGAGGTTTTATAAAACCTACGGCGATTCCATATCTGCTTTGTTCATGATTTTGGAATGAATGATCGACTGTGGTATTAGAAAAAATGTCCGCTTATGAACGACTATCATGTCAGAGACTAGCAACTGATAACTGCTTTAAAAAATGCTTTGTTCAGAAATTTGAATTATAAGTCTAGCCCTTCTGAACTTGGTCACTGAGACTTTCAGTGAATAAATGTTTACATCAGTAAGTTACTTATCTTGGTATGGCTATATATATATAGCTACATATTCATTTTAAAAAGTGAATATGGCCTTTATTTACTGTGATTGTTACAATAACAAGAGATTCCTTAGTTTGATCGTTATTTGGTTTTTAAAAGTCGGACATTTTTCCTTCTTTTCTATGTTTTTGCTTTTGATTATGACTTTTAAGAAAAGTGACAATCATTTTTTATTGTCAATTTTTCTGTCATTTTTTCTGATCCATCCAAAAATAAAAAGGGAACAACATGGTACCAAAGGGGAACCTGAAATCTGAGAAAGAAATTAATCAACTTTTCATTGATCCAGGATCACTGCTTTTTAGTCATTTTGTTTATTCTAACCAGTCCTAAAGCCAGTGGAGCACAACTATGGATCGATGGAAAACTATTTATAAAATATCAGAAAGTTTTATTTAGATCTTCTGAAGATAAAGCAATACCCAACCTCCATACTCACAATTCAAGATGGTCGCTTGTCAGTCCCATAAAGTGGCAGTGCAAGACTAGGGACCAAGGGGAAACCTGGATATAAAATCTGAAAATGATTCATTGCAAGCTGAGAAATCCAATCACATACACAATTAACTGAATACTAGTATACCAGATGCCTAAATCGGAGGATTACACATCCATATACCCTTCTGCTACTTCACAAAGCAGCTGATATTCACATTGTCGATGTTTTTAACTGTCTTGAAGAGATCTAACAACTCTTCATATCGTTTAGATAATTAAACAAACGTATCTATTCCTGATTTTTAAGACATATTTTCACTGTCACCAATCTCATATGAACTTAGCGTACTCAGACTCTGAGTAAACATGGAAAGTCAAATAAGTAATAAAAAAAAAGCTTTGTAGTTTGTTAAATGTGTATTGTCAGTCATTTATACATAAATATATAAGTTCAAATCTTTAACTTATAAATATTTGTTTTACATTAATTACATATCACGATGTAGAAAACCGTGTTTCTACGAGTTATACAGGATACGTTCATGTGGATGCTAGGTTTTAAATACATTGACCCAATGGGAAAAACAGTAACATGAGAATGTGAGATGATTTATTAGAACTTGGGTCATACACTTGACAAGGTAGGATGACACTGCATCTTATTCATGACCTACATAGCTTCGAGCTGAGTACAGGAAATAAGAAAGCATTTTCAAACTTCAAAGTGTTTGCTTCGTATCGGGTAAACCAAACCGGATATTTCTAAATTCGAGATAGACTCCATCTTTCATAGAAAATTTTCATAACTAAAGCCCTCCTGGTTTAGAAGCTATAACCAAGACATGTTGTTAACTGGCATGTGCTGTTTACTCTTTCATCACACACACAAGTTTAAAATTCACCATACGTATTCGGAATACTTAAAAGTTATGTCATTACTGTTCTTCTTATCACTGCTTCTTTGAATTGAATGTTCATAATCTGATAAAGAAATTGAAATATTTATATTGGAAGTTTCAAAACAGGATACTGAAGGTATTCAGTCCCAATATGATTCAATTTGCATTCAAATTAGAGAAGTGAATTCCCATTACTTGCATGAGTCGGGTTACCTATGCGTGAAATTCTATCTCGCCATTAAAATCGTGAATTCTTTCAAGCATGACTGGTTATGATGTTATGCTATATTTTGCCCTTTTCCTGGGGTTACTATTGTCCAAATTTATCTTTGGTCTTGCCAATAGGTCAATGTTATCAAAATCAAGAAGAAAAATCTGGCATATTTCCATGAGCAAATAGCAAATGGAGAATAAGGCTTGGTCAGCAAAGAAAAACGTGAGCTAATATCACACTATAGCAAAATATTTACATTGTATTTACTTCCAGTGATGTTACGTAAATGCGAGATAAATGTGAGGCGACATGTAAGATATCTGGATGCAATATTACATGATAAATCTATTTATCAAAAAATATCAGTTGGGTCATTTACTCCAGATACTATTCTGCTGCTGAGTATGGTCAATGACACACAAGTGGTGCCATCTACTGCTTCTGGTAAAATGTCATGAGTTCTGACGTTTTATATAAGGTTGTTTGTTTTAAAGAGTTTATGAAAATATGTATGTGTAAATGGTTATCATTTCTATTAAGTGTTTTCAATACTTGCATCGACTAGTGTTTTCGTTGATGTAATTTCAGATTTTTTTAGTGCTTGGCACCCATCATGGTCACATCAGATGCATTACCTGGAAGCATACTCGGTGTCGAACCATACAGAGTAAGGTGTGTTCAAGAACGATCCCAGTAAATGTAGACTCCCGAAATTAGTATGTAGACATGTAGATGACCGCAAGATGCATAGTATTCGACAAGGATCTGGTAACGCAAAAAACAGTAACCGTAAAATATTGATCAGTATCTATTATTAGATGAATTACGTCAAATATTCCTTAAGAATCAGGAAAAGAAAAATACAAGCAGATAAATGATACCGGAGACTAACCTTAATCTAGAGTGACATTAGCCGGAGTAAGGTTCTCTTAAGTTCCACTTCCTGTCAGTATCTGGTATGATGGCGTGAGCAATATCTGTAAAATTATGTGTATAGTTATATCAAACACGAAAAGGTTATTGAATGATGTTAAGAAATTTGAAAATTACAAAGATAAGAGGATAATTGGACCAGGTGTTCCGAAAGAGTTAGCTTTCGTCTAAAAGGACAACATCGGTAATATATAGAAAGAACATTGTTAACTTATCAAACTTACAACTATATAAAAAAAGATAACGTTACTGTACACAGACAATACTAACAATGTTAAGCTGTTTATATTACTGTACACAGACAATACTAACAATATTAAGCTGTTTATATTACTGTACACAGACAATACTAACAATATTAAGCTGTTTATATTAGTGTACACAGACAATACTAACATTGTTAAGCTGTTTATATTACTGTACACAGACAATACTAACAATGTTAAGCTGTTTATATTACTGTACACAGACAATATTAACAATATTAAGCTGTTTATATTACTGTACACAGACAATACTAACAATATTAAGCTGTTTATATTACTGTACACAGACAATACTAACAATATTAAGCTGTTTATATTACTGTACACAGATAATACTAACAATATTAAGCTGTTTATATTACTGTACACAGATAATACTAACAATATTAAGCTGTTTATATTACTGTACACAGACTATACTAACAATATTAATCTGTTTATATTACTGTACACAGACAATACTAACAATAT